AGTTTAACCCTCTCAATGAACATAAAACACTCAAGGTCCTCATATTTGGGTGGAAAAACCCTGATTTCACAAAATCATGAGATCTATACAAAATTAATGAGAAAGGTGCAAGCTTCATACCTTTACCAGAAGCTTTGAAGTGAAACAATCTCAGATCTAGAAGCACCTTCTTTTCCCTTGGCTTGGAATTCTTCTATTCTCTTCACAAGATGTACCAAACACTCAAAATTAGCAAAACACTCTTTCTCAAATCTTAAAGGCCGTTTAGGGTTTGCTCTCAGGGAAGTGTAGCCGAAAATAAGGATAAAAGTGCCTTTAAATAGGCCCCAAACCCGAGGATTTAGGGTTTCTCATCCCAATGCCTACTCGGCGAGTCGGCTCCTCGGACACGTCGAGTAGGCCATTAAACCCACGTAGTACATCGCGACTCTACTTAACGAGTTGGAGCACCAACTCGTCGAGTAGCTCAAGAGATAATTAAATAAATAAATAACAAATAACATACCTGGAAATCCGGATGTTACAAAAGTACATTAATGCTCCCAAACTATATCGACTATAGTTTGATTGTATGTTATGTATTGTACAGAAAACTTTGCAATTATGGTTGTATGTTGAAAAAATCGCTTATGCTCAACATGTTACAAAAGGGATAAAAATATCTAAATATTTTTATAAAATGTAGTGATTTCTCGGTTTGTATCAATGGAAAAAGTTTTTAATCTGTTTGAAATAGTTTGCATAAAAACACAAAAATCCTTGTGTTTTACTTATATTCCCCCTTGAAAACATTAAAAAGAGTGAAAATGTAGGGGTATGAACTCATAGTTTTTTGTGAACGTATTGGACAGCGAGACTGGAAAGATGACCCTCGAGTTGATATACGTGGTATTAACGATATCCTAATGATAATTAAACACATAATTGTATTTAAATTAGAGAAAACATTATTTTAAGTGATAGAAAACACTTATTTTTGTGTTAGGAAATGTTACCGAGAATTGATTGAAGTGAATGGGAAGGTTCTCGGTCAAAAGAAATTTTCGGTTGGAAACTGGTTTCCGGCCGAACACACGTTTTCGGCCGAAATCGTTTTTTTTTTTGTTCTGCTGTTGTTTTTGGCCACTTGAAGATATGAAGGTTCTTCTTGGTGTTCTTGGGGTTGTTGGTGTTCTTGGTGGAAACTATGACGATTTGAAGGTTTCCTCTTGAAGATATGAATGTTCTTGGACGATCCTTGGGAGCAAAATGAGAGAGTTTTCGGGTGAAATGAGTGAGAAATGATCAAGTTTCCGAGGAAAAACCTTTATACCGGTTGGGTTTTCAGTCGGAATAGAGTTCTCAACCGAGATATTTTTTTCGGCCCGAGGGTTTTCGGCCGAAAACGGATGGTTGAATGAATTTTTTTTATTTTCGAGGAGAAATATTAGGTTTTTTGAGTGTTTTTGGTTCCAAAAACTTACATAATCTTTATTTATATATTTTAGATTATTTTCTAACCCACATGAACTTAAAGGAATAAATAAAATTCAAAATTTTATTTAAGGAGGTTGACTTTTATTGACTGGAAAAGTATTGGTTTGTCACATCATCCCCCCGTTAGAGGGAATTTCGTCCCGAAATTCTTTCTATAGAGTACAATCATGGACTAGGAAAAAGATGCGGGTACTTCTGTTGCATCTAGTCTTCTCACTCCCAAGTGAACTCAGGTCCCCATTTGGCATTCTAGTGAACCTTCACTATCGGTATGCGACTTTCTTTTTCATTCGTTTGACTTCCCTATCCATGATTTCGACTGGTTCTTCCACGAAGCTAAGGCTCTCATTTATCTTGATTTCATCAAGTGGAATCACAAGAGTTTCGTTTGATAGACACTCCTTAAGATTTGACACATGGAAGACTAGGTGTACGTTGTTAAGTTCTTGTGGCAGATGGAGTTAGTAAGCTAAGGGGCCGATTCTAGCAAGACTCTTGAATGGCCCAATGTATCTTGGATTTAGCTTTCCACGCTTTTTGAAGCATATAATGCCCTTCCAGGGTGAGATCTTCAACAGAACGCGATCACCAACCTAGAACTCTAAGGTTTTTCGTCTTCTGTCTACGTAGCTCTTTTGTCTATCCCTCGAGGCTTTTATTCGTTCCCGGATATGTATGATCTTTTCTGTGGTTTCTTGAATGATTTCTAGTCCAATGAGAGTGCTATCAACGACTTGTCCCTTAGCTAGCTGTGTGTCACCTACCTCAACCCAACACAGAAGGGATCTGCACTTACGGCCATAGAGGGCTTCAAATGGAGCAACCTTGATGCTAGTGTGATAGTTGTTGTTATAATAAAACTCGACCAGTAGCAAATGGGTATCCCATGACTTGCTGAAGTCGATAATGCTTTCTCTCACCATGTCTTCTAGTGTTTGAATGGTTCTCTCACTCTGCCCGTCGGTTTGTGGATGGTAAGCTATACTCATATCTAACTTAGTTCCAAGAGCCTTCTGAAGTGACTACCAGAATCGTCAGGTGAATTTACTATCTCTATTCGAGATAATGGATATGGGCACACCGTGCAGTCGTACTATCTCTTGGATGTAGGTTCTAGACAGTTTCTCCATTTTGTATGATTCTTTGATTGGCAGAAAGTGGGTGGACTTGGTTAATCTGTCAACGATTACCCAAATAGTGTCATGATCACTTGGGGTTTTGGGCAATTTGGTGATGAAGTCCATTGTAATTCGTTCCCACTTCCTCTCAGGTATTTCTGGTTATTGAAGTAAACCTAAGGGCTTTTGATATTCTACCTTCACTTTGGTTCAATTCAGGCACTTGTCCACGTAGGTACCAATTTCAGCTTTCATGTTTGGCCTCCAATTGAGTTTCTTAAGATCCAGATACATCTTGTCTGAACCTGGGTGAACGGAGTATCGAGTTTTCTGGGCTTCATTCATGAAAACCTCTTTGTAACCACCATGTAACATCCGGATTCCCAGGTATATTATTCTAATATTTTATTTTTCGAATTTCTGAAGGAGCTCGACGAGTTGATGCGTAGACTCGCCGAGTAGGGTCACGGATTATCATCCGGGTTCGCGTTTGGACTCGGTGAGTCCACGCTGTTTAATGAAACCCTAATCCCCCGGGGTTGGAGCATATTTAAGGTCACTTATAGCCTCCTATTGCAGCTACCAGTCCCTTGAGAGCACCCTAAGTGAGCTAGATCGTTTGAAAGGAAGGAGAAGCCATATTTGATCTTTCTATCTTTGGTTTAGCAAGAAGAAGGTGATCAAGAGAAAGAGGAGACTGATGGAGGTGTGATTCTAGTGATTTCAGAGTCCAAAGACTTCAACTTGAGGTATTTATTCGGACCTTCTTCAGTCTTGGTATTGATTCTTAGAGTTAGGGTTTTCTAACCTCTTTTGAGGATGATTATGTGGAGTAATTGGTCCCTTCTCGAGTTTATGCTTTGGATCTGGAATCAAAGAGGTCCAAACACTACTAGAAAAACAGCCTTTTACGACGCTTATTGCGCGTCGTAAAAGGCTCAGATGACGCGCAAATGCGTGTCAAGGAAGGCCTTGTCATAAAGAGAGACGACGCGTATTTACAACGCTCATTTACGACGCACAATTACGACGCGCATTTACGACACGCAATGCGTATCAAGGAAGGCCCTGTCATAAAGGAAGATGACACGCATTCACATGTCGTAACCTTACGACGCGCGTGTTAATGACACACAATGCGTATCAAGAAAGCCCCTGTCAAGAAAGGCCATGTCATAAATGAAGATGACACACATTTTTGCGTATCATAATTTTAAATGTTTAAAAAAATATATTATTTATAGATTTACTAATTCTCAAATTAAATAATACATTAAAAATCTCATAATACAAAATAAAATACCATAAATAACAAAGATAATTCATTTCACTAATATGTCAAATACAAATAATTATTCCAATAGTGAGTAAATGTTATAAAAAAATGAACTCATTTATATACAATTGCATTATCTAGCTTACTATGTGCCAACAACTCTCTGTGTTTACTTTTTGCTTAAGTCTCGTTTCCTCCAAAACTTTAGCCATGCCAAAATATGATATCTTAAATTCATCAAGTCCTTGGCGTGAAGTCTTAGATAGAAGCTTAACTGCAATCTCCAATCCTTCTAGCAGACCCTAAAGATCATTATTGGCCATGTAGCAGGATCAACCTGCAATCTCTTTTCTACCTTCTTATTACTTGCAAGCATCTTCTACCTGTTTGACCAAGATTGTGCCTTCAGTAGCAACATGCTTCATTGCGTCAAAAAGATAAAAACAGATGACAACAAATACAAATAACTGCATTCTACTTTAAAAAACAAAATAGAATCCAACTCCTAAATCACAAACCTGTTTAAACATACTAGAGACAGGATCCAATCCATGGGGTATTTTTGGAAAATAGTCTAAACATTCTTGACAAATCATCAACCTACAAGTGAAGGGTAGAAAGGGAAGAAACAAATGTTCACAACTAGTAAGAAATCTAAACACTAGAAGTTTCACAGTGATTGTTGATTCCTATAAACTCAAATGTGAGTTGAGAGGCTTGTTCACAACCACTAAGAAATACTAAGTAGAAAGAAACAAGCCCTTAATCCAGTAAGCTATATATGAGTGTTTCTTGCAACATAAACATTTTCATGAAAATGATATAGACAAATAAGAGTGATGATATTGATACCTTAACTACGCCATTGGTGAAAGAAATTTTAATTGGTTGATAGCAATACTTGACCTCTGAAAACAAATAAACAAAGGATCACATCATAATTAGCTCAATGAAGTAATTCTTATACATTGTCTCTACCAAAAGATTCATCATGGAAACATTTTTGTTGGAATTAACTAAACGAAAACCCATTTAGCATCATTAACCTGTTGGAAAAAGTAAAACCATGATTAAGTTATAAAATTTTGTGTTTAAATAATATATATATTTTAATACCTGATGAACTTTGGGTTGTTTGTGAACATCTTCATAAGGATCATTCTCCATATCACTCAAAGGATCACTAATAACCTCCACAGGAGGCTGTCAGATTGACTTTGGTGCTGCTACACTTGCAACAATTAAAGGTCTACGCCTTTGTAATCGCCCCTCAATCTCATCATATTCCTTGTGCTGAAAGTGAAATTAATGTAAAACATGTATATATTTATAGAATGCAACACGTGATTTTTTGTAAGAAATTAAGTAATGGTTACAAAATACAAACCCGCAAGCGATGCTTTATAAGAAGTTTGTGAATTTATGGGATGAAAATGGTAAAGTCCTCCCCAAGTGCATGTGCCAAACAACAGAGTGCATCAACAACATCCTTTCTTAGCTCATCGTTTTTTCTACATGCATGAAAAATGTTTTAAAAGAAAATAAAATTAAAAGTGAAAAGGAATTCATGTTGGGAGAGTCAAATTACATTATTTCCCTTTGACACATGTGCATTGTACAAAGAATTATAGGAACATATCTCCTAAATTCATCTTTCAGGGCCATACAAATTTGTTCAACTAGGTGCAGGATTTGATCAGAAAGTCAAATTACATTATTTCCCTTGACACATGTGCATTGTACAAAAACAGATAGTAAAAGCACACTTTACCGGGGGTCCATGAACATGACGATTGGCTATTGGGAGACTGAATGATGACCATAATTCTGATATTAAAGAAAGCAGCTTGGGTAGATACTTGCGAATGTGCGGAAATAGCAACCAAGAATGGTTAATGATGACGTGGCGTTTAAGGAGTTAGTTTTTTTGTAATTGTACAAAGTCAAATACAATCCTACCTGGCGCACAATTGAAACAAGAGTTCCAAGCTTCCAAGTTATGAACTCCTTGAGAGTATCTTCACACGTACAGATAGTGTGAAAGAAGTCTGGTAAAACCTTTGGCAAGTAAGGCACACAGCCAAGACCCATTGACTAAAAAACGATATTAGAAAAATCAAAGAAGAGGAAAAAAGAATCTACAATCTGCAATTATATAATAAATATGTATATTATGTGTTCTTTAAGTCAACGAACCTTGAAAATAAACATGAGAGAGCCAACGACTTTTTGATGATAACTAGAAAGATAAGGGTCTCTAAGTATCCGAATTAAAGAACTGATAGCAACCTGCAAATGTAGTAAATGCAAATTAGACTAAAGGAGTAAAGGTACGACTTCTTTTTTATTTTTACTTTTTGATAAAAAAAAACTTTACAGTGGAGAAATAATCTTCTGATGTTGCAAATGATGGCCAAAAATCCATTGGCAGCTCATCACTAGACTGGATATGTGGGCATGTATCATTGGTTGCATGGGTCCCATCACCCAGAGGCCCTTGCAAGCTTTGTTGATTACGCTTATGAACATGAGGATCCAAAGCACCCATTATTCCAAGAACCTGATCATTCATTGTTAACAGAGATTTTTTCCAGCATGAATCTATGTACATAACATCATAGAAACCATAAAAGGGTCAAAAACATACCATAAGAACTTCACTCCTTGTAGACCATGCCAGCTCACTATTCAACAACTTTAAAAGTAAGCCCAACTGTGGGTACTCATTATATGGAGCTATCACATAACTACAAACAAAAACCAATCGATTTTTGTAAAAAGGGTAAACTACATTGCAGTGTCACTTGTAATATTGGTAAAGATGAATACATACCCTGTGCTCTGTACAACCTGACCAAGAGTTGCAACAACAACCTCACGTTTAGTAGAAGCAGCTCCATCCAATAAAGCTTCAACAATTCTTGGCATAATTTCAGGGATATATTCTCTCATAAGCTTGAATATGCATATTAGCATTAGACACTATTATATTTATGTTGAGATCCGTTGTAGTGGTCAGCCGTAATTGAGATGTAACACTTGGAGCATTGACATCATTTTAGTACATGTACATTGAAACCAAACAAGAAGACATTAAACAAGTAGAAAGAAAGAGAAAAGAGACCCCTTCAGAAATTTATCACTAAAACATATTTGAAAAATTCTAGAGAAAGAGATAACCTACCTTAAGACACCATCAACAGGTTCAACAAGAGGCTCCCAAGCTTCATGTTTATCATTATATGATATGGCGGCCAATGAGAAGCAAAGAGTGGCATTGAGGTAATCAGGCCTGCTATGGAGACTAAATCCAATATTGCTCAATGATATGTTAGATAATGGTTTCATATGCAATTCCAAACATATAAAATAATTCAGATCCTAGTTATCAATGTGGAGGATAACACTAAACCATTTATAAATATCCAGGGGGAGCCTGAGGCAGCCACAAAGATATACTTTCAGATCCTTTATGTTTCTTTATTTTCTCGACAAGTTGAAAACGAACAGTAGCTTTAAAAGGCTCATCTTTTTCAAGAACTATGCATGTGTTTGGAGGCTCATATCCTGTAACAACAATATCACCATACAACAATATCAACAAGATACTTTTGGTAGATGCTCCACCTATGAAGTCCAACAGCTCTTCAACTTTGCTTGCATGCTCTAAATAGAATATTCTAGGTCTTAAATACCCATTACTCATGTTCCATACGACTGCATAATAAGAGGAATATCTATTAAGAATACAGGTTAACAGTTTGTTTTCTTTCTGACAGGGCCAATTCGGTGGTGGATCCTCCTTCACTATCTTTTATGCTTTTAGTACCTTCCCCCCTCTTTTAACGGTATAAATGGGGGGTATATTTGTAATTACACTCTCCAGGACTAAGTAAAATTATCTTCCGTACATAATTTGGCATGTTTTGAGGCCAAATAGTTATGAAGTCAATATCGAACACCTAAAACTCGATACCCTCCAAAATCATTATCACACGCACAAAAAATAGACACTTTTACCCCTCTACTCAAGAATGTACCCCAACATTCTTGCTTTCAAGGCATAAACCAAATCTTGGTCAAATCTTTTTCCTAATTTTTTTTTCTTTTTTAAAATTTAAAGACAATGAAGAAGGGCCCGTTTGCAGGTTGGATGTTGTGAAGTTCTTATGCTTGAATTCGGAGGTGTCAATTCCATTCCAAGTGTTTTTAGTAGAAAATGTCTTTCCTGAAAAACCCAAAAAATAAAATAAATAAATAAATAAACTTTCTTTAATCTTTTTGGTTTTTAGCTTGTTTAATTACAGGAAAAGTAAAGAAAAACTACTCTTTTTTTTTTTGGCAATTTTGTAGTTTAATCACTTATGCTTTGTTTTTTCCAATCAAACCATAAAAGTTCCACACATTTTTTTTTCAAATTAACCACTTTAACCTTATATAATAAATCAAAATGTCTTTCAACTTTTATTGTTTGATTCGAAAAATAAAGTATTAGTTGGTTAAAATTTAAAACTGCTAAAAATATAATGTTTTTTTTAATATAACTTACCCTTTTATTGATGTGACAGGAAGTAATTTAAGTGGAAGATTAACGTATGACAAGGGAAAAAACATAAAATGGTTAATGGACTTACACTTTCTGAATATTGTGGGCTTGGAATCCCTGCAGCCATTGATCTAAACAATGGAGTTACTTGAAGTGGAGAATTAAATTCTGAATTTGGCAATGCAACGTCATTCTTGAATTCATCACAAGATTGTAAAATATTTGTAATTCAAAAAATATATATATATTTCTCATTATTATCAATATGATGTTAATTATAGGTAAAATTACAAAAAAGGACATAGTTTAACTTGATTGATTCCCTCATCAGATGTTATCATATTTACATCACCAACAGCTCACGTTCTTCTTTCTGACGATCTTTTAAACGAGAGCTTTGTATCCCTGGTAACAAGGACTTAGGCACCCTGCCATTGAAATACATTTAAAGAATATTACCAATTTACCCTTCCTGATATATTTGGAATAACTCTTTCTAGCTTCATATGTCAAAAGACTTATAAAGATTTCTAGCTGACCTTGGAATAAATGACATGGTAAGCAGGTAAAGCGTGAAAACAGAAGAAATTTTCCGTAGAATGTCCCAAATCTCAACAATTTACCACCATATGTTTTACACAATTACTTAGAGATTTTCTAAAGGAAGTTGAGAATGTGAAATTCAATTTTGAACAAATAAATAACGCCAGATGCAACAACAGGTTCAGGTGATAGAAGGGTAGTCTTTTCGCCCAAGAGTGTTAGAGAAGCTGTTAAACAAAAATGGCAGGAGCTTTATGAATTGCTTAAGAAGTAATTTGAAGCCCTAGACATTCCATGTTGACAAATAGTCATTATATAAGTTCATTTTTTTCTTAGAATGCTTTAAGAAGGTGAGAGATGCATATATGCATCAGATTAGTAATTAGCGAATAATATTTGTAATTGAAGCTTTATTTGATTATAGAGGCAAATTGGAAGTTTCATGTGATAGGAAACCAGATTAAACAAGCAATCGAGAATTCAACACATACAGGACCAAGAACAACAACTATTGAATTTATGAGGCAACCTACTCCTTGCTGAAGCACAACCGATCCATTCTCTTCAAAAAAAAAGGATATCTATAGCAAGGCCAAGTACACCTTAATGAACGATTTGATTTTGAAGAGACAAGTCGGCAGTCTTCGACATCGGATACTGTTCTAAGGTCTTTATTTTAGGAACGAACAAGGAGGTGATGGTGTAAATCGATGACCACCAATCAAAGCCTTCGTAATCGTCCGTGAAGAACATCACGCCACAAGAGAAGAAAGAAAGTGACAGCCTAAAAGAGAAGAAATAAGGTGACAACTGAAATTACCTGCGTGGGAAGTGGGATCAGAAAGATAGCTAAACCAAACCTTGGAACTTGTTGAGACCTGAGGGCTGGCTGGCGAAGGTTGCCTCCTTCAATGTTCTTAACATTATATAGACCGTACAGTAGTGGAGGTTGGATACTAGATCACTAGAGGGTAGAATAGACTGAAATTAGAGAGTTGGTTGTTTCATTAGAGCTCGACTGGAGTGGAATCCGAGATTGGGGAGTGGAAGAAGAGAGAATCAGAGAAGTTCGAAGTGTGGATTGAGTTTTTAGGGTTCAATTTCAAGTCAATAGTAAAGACTCCAAAATGATTACACCTCCTTGTACCTCACTAAATAATCGAAACCATAGAAATTCTTGAAATCTGTATGAACAAGCGATGAAGATGCGAACTTGTGGGAGGATCACGCTGGAGATGCAAAGTTGGAGAGCAGATGTAGAGAAGTGAAGCTGTGGAGGTTTGAGAATCGAGAGAGACGAAAGAAAGAAAGGGGTTTTTAGCGGGGATGAGCTAGGGTTTTCAGTCGGTGGAAACAAAACGGGCTTTTTAATTTTTGGATTTCATTTCCCCCTTGGATGAAACGCGTGTTTCATTAAAATTTATAAAGTGACATGGTTAGACAACACACATTTTATTTAAGGTGCCCTCCGTGTTTTTTTAGACACTAATTCTAGGGCACGCAAACATGCGTGTCCACTATGCTTCATATTTTGGAAAACTGACATCAACTTTTAGGGTACGCACAAATGAGCGTCCTCTATCAGCACGTGTTATTGATTGCGCGTCGTAAATGGCTGTTTTTCTAGTAGTGAGAGACCTTAACCCTTGGAGCTTTACGAATTATCTTGGGAGTCATGAGCTTAGAATGTCATTTTTGGGGCTAAATCACCAAATGAAACCATCTAGATGATATATGAGTGTCAAGGTCTGGACTTTACGTGATTATTATGCTTAGGAAGGCCAAATCTATGGATTAGAGGAACAGATCTGACCTCAGGAGGTCAATGGAGTTTGTGCATGGCATGTACTCGCCGAGTTGTTCTTAAGGCTTGGCGAGCTGAGTCGGGGTGTGTGACATCCCCAAAATCACGGCCAGAAAAGAGCGATTTTGTTTATGCTTTATAAAAATCAGAGTACTTCATTTTATAAAAAGGTTGCGGAATTTGTTCCCAGAAAAACACGATAAATACGTTATTAAAACATTTTCGAAGAAACGTATTTTTATTCATCTTGAAACGTTTGGGATGTCATCGTTAATACAGAAACATAAGCATAAACAGAACTTACAATTATATTACACTAGTGATCTACATCTCTTTAAATCTCTCAGTGTAATGTCACTTCATATCGCCACCTGTGATGTAAATAAACTGAGTGGGTCAGGTTGGGAAACCTGGTGAGTACATAGGGTTTTCAACCCACAATAATATAGTTATTATGTTTAAACAATCAAACAATCAACCCAATTACCCATCCCCATTATCTTCTTTTAGTCTTCCCTAAAGATATTATCTCAAAGGTCATCTCCTATATCATATTTACTTCTCATCTCCTTATATCGTATTTCCTTACATGATTGTTCCTACGAACTTTACCTAAGGATCATCGCCTACATTGCATAGACAATACTAATCCGGGGATTACTCCCTCAATACGTGTCTAGCAAGTGTTAGGGTATTATCGCATGATTACGCAGCCACAACATCGCCTGGACTTGTAACTCATGATAAGGGTTAGTCTATCATCACATGAATACGTAGCCACAACATCGCCTGGACTCGTAATTCATAATATGGGTTAGACTATCATCGCATGAATACGTAGCCACAACATTGCCTGGACTCGTAATTCATAATATGGGTTAGACTATCATCGCATGAATACGTAGTTACAACATCGCCTGAACTCGTAATTCATCACCTACAGGTTACTAGCCTGCTGGTGTTTCCACGAGGTTGTCTATAATAGTCCGCGGTCGCCATCTATACTCTGGTAGATGACTACATCTCCAAATTGTCGGACAAGGTTGTAGTATCCTACATCACCGATTCATAATCACTTATCTATCATCACCTATCTCTCATTATTTTATTTCATCACTCACCAACTATTTCATCTACCCATGTTTTATCCCAACATATTTGTAGATATAAAATAAATATACAGTTTAAATCATTTAAAACATGTATAAATCATTCATCCAGCATAGACAACAAGTATTCAGACAATATGTACACATAGCACGTAATTTATATTAAAATACTTCATATCTATGTGTAAGATGAAAGGGACCATGCACTCACCTGAAAGGTGGTGACTCAGCACTCGGACAGCGCTTCGATACTCTCAAAACAACCTTCCTTTGATAAAACCTAGTACCAGTACCACTAGGGTTTAGTCTAACGATAACCGTGACTAATTAATAGTCTGACTATTAT